CCAAGTGGTAATAAAAACAAATTTTGTAACAATTTATTTAGACTTTATTTGTTCTTTTTGAAAGGTTTTAGATTTTTGTTTTTGTTGTTTCTTCTTTAATAGAACCGTTTATTCCGCCAGTGATCATTTCACCAAAGAACAACCAAGAATTTGATGTAGATTTAGGTGAGTTATTGTCTACATCCACATACCTTCACACTCTTGGCTAAAGCTTTAATGTTAATCGGTAATAAAATCTGTGTTTACTCTGCTTTTTCTAGATTCAACAGTGGTGATTGATTGTAAAGCAGTCACGTCTTCAGACATTGATGAATTGTTCTGGTTAAGCGGCGATTCATTTGTGGAGACAAATAGCACTCTGCCCGTTTTCTACAATTATACATGGTAAATATTTCACACACAGTTTCTATATAACTGATGTGTTTTGTATCTGTCACAGCTTTGAATTCTGCTTTTAGAGCTGCCTCAATCATGTTGTTCATCTCCTTTTCAGGGTCAACACCACAGAGGAAATCAACATGACAGCATCTCTAGTCTTCAGACAAGTGTCAGAGGAGGATCTGTCAAACAATTATACCTGTAAACTGCAATCTGACTACCAAACAAGCTTTGTCACCATCACCTTGAAGCAAAAAGGTATGAATCAGTAAACTCAGAGTAATCTGTATTTTTTGTTTATTTTTCAATAAAGGGTGTCACCGTCATTCTGACCAAATAAAAGTGTCTTAGTGTGTTGTTAATGTTCTGATTACTCTCCATTACTCCCTACAGCTGTTTCACATCTCGCCATGGGTTTATGCATTTTTCTCGCTGTGTTGATGGTATTACCAGTAGCTATCATTCTTTGGCTGCAAAAAAATCTTGGCTTCTATCACAGAGCCCCAGGTGGGATACTATTTTAAACATGTGTTACAGATTCATATTTTTTGTCATTTTAACGATAGCATTTTATTGAAGTGAACTTCAGTGTGATTGTTTGTTTTTCTTTGTTATGATAAGACAGGGAAACTGCATCGTTTGAAGACTCGCTTCTAAACACAAACAGCAGGAGGCCTTGAGTACAGGTTCATCACCAGGGGCCTCATAGCTCTGCGAGGTTGTGTCACCTGAAAGGGCTCCATGTTGCACTCCTCCTCCTTCTGAAAGAAGCTACGCCATTACCTGCCCGTCCCACAGAGAGCACCCAGAGATTTAATATGAGTATACAGGTAGAGGTACATTCAGAGTTTATTTTAGACACCTGAACACTGCCAGGTGCCTGGCATCCGCCTAGCAACGAAAAAAAATTAAACATATGTCTCTCTTTGTGATATATGGGTCATGGGCCTGTACCAGCTCATATAAGAG